GAATTCAAGAAGTTTTAGATTTGCGTGGTTTTTTTTGAGTTGCAAAATCCACTTGAACATGACGCTGCTTTTTTCGAAGTTTCTCAAGAACCGTTCGAGGTAGAGAATTCGTTTTGGCACCGTTGGATAGAGAATTGAATAGGGGTGGATCCGCCCTTGGTTAACGGGTTATACCTCATCGGTTAATGAGTTAGAATTCATTTGTTCAAGGTTTACGAGGCCCGTGACTGGAATTTTCACATCTAAAAAAGGGTTATTAACACTTTCTGAGTAACATTTTACTACTTTGTTCAACAACTAAAAAAAGTAATCTAGATTTTCTCCAGAGTCCAAAGAAAGTCGACGAGTTTTTTGTGTAACAGATTCAGTTGCCAGTATTTTACAGTAAAACGTTGGAAAAAACGCGGTTTTTCTGTTTAGAGACAGTGTTGTTTTGAAATATTGACCTAAAAGTGAAGAAACCTTAGTTTCCAAGAGTTTTCCAAATAAACGATTATAAACTTTCGCTTTTTCAGTCCGGGGAAATATTTTTGGAAAAAGTCCTCGAAACAATTATTAGGGTTTTGTCCATAATTCGAAGCTGGAAAAGTTGAAGACATTTTAAAAACATGATTCATAAATGGCCTTTAAAATAAATCTAAAAAACGCAAAAAAGTCATCAACATTTTCCCAGCAACGAGTTGCTGCGCCGGTGCGTTGGGTTGGGGCACCGGCACCATTTGCGCCAACTCCTAAAAAATCACTGAGTTACCCAGCCCTAGTTCAAACTGTGATCGCAACCCACTTAATTCTAGTGGCGATACACGATTTTCGAGCATGGCGTATCCAAGATGAACTCAGATTGGTGGAACTTTCGACTCCGATACCAAGGCATCGTGCCTCCGATTCCGCGCTCAGAAAGCCACTTTGATGCCGCTGCTAAACGGCACATTCCTGCAGACGTCCCTTACATCAAGTACTACGTTGCCTTACTTTTGGAGTTCCAAATATACAAATCAATGTGCGACGCGGCCAATCACAAGGGATCCCTGCACACCTGCGATGTGTACAGATCAAGGGAAGCCGGCCGAGTATTAAGGTTTTTCCGCGAACTTGTCGGTTTTTCATAGGCTAACGCACAGTTTTCAGTGATATTCTTCGCGTCGGCAAGGCGCGCCATTGGAAGGATGTTATAAAAATGTTGACGAAAGATAAGGGCGGAAAACTGTCCGCTGAGCCGCTGCTCGAATACTTCCAGCCGCTGTACATTTGGCTGCAAAGTGCGAATCGAGATGAGCCAGTCATCGGCTGGACCGCCAACAAGGACGATCTTGCCCTTTATCAGCCCTTAGTGGGACTGGCCACAACCTGTAAAGCTAGCCCGCTTCTATTCGCTTCTGTGATAGTATTTTTAGCCGGTAGAAACCTGCCTTAGAGTGCTCTTATAAATATAGCATAATTAACT